CAACATCCTGCGTTCCTGGAGCAGCTGGGGGTGGCAAGAGGCAGCTGGGGCACTGAGCTGAGCCCTCAGGGTGGGCTGGGGTCAGAGGTCAAGGCCTCTTCCTGTCTGCTGCCCAGGACTGAGGAATGCAGTTTCCTTTCTCAGCCTGACCCTGAGGACCCCACAGGCAGGAAGTCTCTAGGTCTGGCCAGAGTCAGCGGCTCTTGGGTCTGAGCCCTGGTGCTGTGTGTCCTTGAGCCAGTAACTGCCTCTCTGAGCCTCTTTTCTCAGTGGGGAAAGTGGGGCTGAGAACAGCGGTTCCTCACAGGATTAGAGGAGGGGATGCTTTTGAGGTCTCAGCCCAGGGCCAGTGTCTTAGTTGGCTCTGGCGGCCGTAGCAAAGTACCACAGACTGAGGCTTAAATAGCAGAAATTTATTTTCTCACAGTTCTTGGGGCTGGAAGTCCAAAACCAAGGTGTCAGCAGGTTTGTTTTCTTCTGAGGCCTTTCTCCTTGACTGGCAGAGGGCTGCCTCTCCTTGTGTCTTCCCATGGTCCTCCCTCTGTGTGCAAACATTTTCTGAGTCCAAATTCCCTCTTTTTATAAGGACACCAGTCATTCTGGGTTAGGGCCCAGACTAATGACCTCATTTTACCTTAATTACCTCTTTAAGTCCCTGTCTCCATATACAGCCTTGTTCTGAAGTGATAGGGCTTAGGGCGTCAACATATGAATTTTTGGGACACACACACACACAATCCAGCCCCCGCAGCCAGGATCATGGGAGTAGTATGGGAGCAGTGACCTTCACTTTTGTAAAACTTGGCGGCTTGGCATGCAGACTGGAGACGTCGTAAGGGTCTAGTTGGCCAGAGCCAGGGCCGGGAACACTGGCAGCCTCCTTCCCGCTGCCCCGGCCTCTGCCTCACCTTCCTGCCACCTGCACAGCTGGCTGCTGCTTCAAGAATATAAATGCCCTGACGTGGGAGAGGCTGCGTATAATACAGAGCCTGGAGTTTTTAGGCAAAACCTGGTGTCTGGGAGACTGTGCCCCTTTTGCGAACCCGCGGGGGTGGGCTCTCTCCTGGCCCAGGTGGGCAGCACCCACCCCAGGGCTCTGCATGGTGCTCCGGCTAGAACACTCCTGCTCTGATCCAGTCACTCCTCCTGATGCCAAGTTCCTGCAGCTGCCAGTCTAGGAAGCTGCCACTGCAGGGAGGGGGGCTGGGCCTCAGTTTCCCCACTGTTGAGCTCCCGCCCAGCTCCGACAGGCAGTGATTCCTGCGGCCAGCCGCACGTGGGAGGGGAGGAGTCCTCTGCACGCCAGAGAGGGGCTTTTTCTCTGTGGGGTGACTCAGCCTGTAGTCATCGCCGCGGGAGCCGGGGTTTCGGAGGCGCGGGCTGTTTCCCTTCCCTCCCTCGGCGCTGCTGCGGGCGGAGGCATGTGGCCGGGCGCCGCTGCCACCTGGCTCTGCAGTTTAACCACGCTCGTCCCCGGGCCGATTTCCCAACTTCCTGTGCTTGCCTCCCAGCACCCACTCTGCAGGTTCATCGCCAGCCCGGGGGAGGTGGGCGCACACATCTGGGCCACCGCCACCACCACCAATAACAAAAATAGAGAAATGGCATTTACGGTATTTTCTAGTCAGCCCTGGACACACAGTGGTGACCAAGGCGGACCCAGGGCCTGCCCATGGCAGCAGGAGCAGGTCCTCGCCGCAGTTACTAGTCAGGTGCCCCTTGGCCCTGAACTGGGCCTGCACTGTGGCCCCAGGAGCCTCCCGGTGGATGTGTGAGGCCAGGCCGGGTCATGGTTCCCAGCGTTCAGAGGGGAAACCGAGGCCCCTTGGGGTTCAACGATCTGGAACCAGGCTTGGCAGACCACGTCCCACGGGCGTGGCTGTGAATCACGATCGTTCGCAGATTGTCTGTGGCTGCTTCTGCGCGTGCGCGTGGCAGAGAGTAGGGGTTCGCATGGCAGAGAGTAGGGGTGCGCGTGGCAGAGAGTAGGGGAGGGGCAGGAAGGGAACAGGGATCTCGGGGCGGCCTCCGTTGGGAGGGTGGGGTGGCACCTAGTCCTGGCTCTGCCATCACTGTCCTTGGACCTTCGGCAGTGCCTGCCACCTGAGAAGTAGGGTACATGACATGCCCGTGACTTGGGGTGGTCGGGAGGACCTAAGGAGATAAAGGGGATTCGGAGGACTGCCTGCCTTGCTGCTGTTGGTGGTGGGCTACTGTCCCTGTGGCTGTCACTGCAGCTACTCCTGCCCAGTTATGACAAGGGCCGCGGGGGTTGCAGGTGGGGGGGTGTGTGCAGGTGGGGGGCCTGGCTGTCAGCTGGTGTAGGCGGAGACCCCTGGGCAGGCCTGCTGACCTCGCTCCTTCCCTCTCCTGGGCAGGGATCCCTGAAGACTCCAAGGTGGAGGGCCCCGCGTTCACGGACGCCATCCGCATGTACCGCCAGTCGAGGGAACTGTACGGCACCTGGGAGATGCTGTGTGGGAACGAGGTGCAGGTGAGGCCAGGAAGGCTGGTGGGGAGACGGCAGAAGCTACCCAGGGCCTAGAGGGTGCGGTCGGGCACGGAGATGGGCTGTGGGTGCTGCAGGTTTGGACAGAGACAACAAGCTCAGGTTTTTGACAGGTGGAGGCCGAAGTTAGCCGTGCAGGTGGAGATACTTGGTATTTTGTTCAGTCATTTCCTAAGCATTTGCCCTGGCCCAGGTGCCCAGATGCCACTGTGAGCAAGAGGGACACAGCCCTGCCCTGGCTGGTGTTGCCCAGTGGTTAAAGTGACGGCCTGGGCACCGAAGGGTTGCGGGTTCGATTCCCAGTCAAGGGCACGTACCTGGGTTGCAGGTTTGATTCCCCAGCCCCGGTCAGGGCACGTGTGGGAGGCAGCCAATCGATGTGTCTCTCTCACATCGATGTTTCTCTCCCCCGCCCTTCACTCTCTCTCAAAATCAAAGGAAAAAATATCCTTGGTGACAACAGCAAAAGGGACACAGCCCTGGACCTCNTAGATTTCTGGACAAATGAGCTACCAGCAACCCGAACTTAGTTCTTTAGGTAGCTGACCGTTTTCATTAGTTAATTGCTTTTGATGGATTGCGCTCTCTCTCTCTTTTATAAACCATCTTTTTATGACCTTAGATCAGTGGCTTTCCAGTGTCCACCAAGAGCAAAAGACTTACATTGTCCAAGGAGACCACTGATAACTTTAAGTTATCTCCATATTTTTTGGGGGAGGGGGGGTTGGGTAAGATTCATGTGAAGAAAAATTCTTCTTGCTAAAAATAGTTTAAAAATTGAATTACTTGGGCCCTGGCCAGGTAGTTCAGTTGGTTAGAGAGTCCCCCCGATACACCAAGGTTGGGGGTTCCCTCCCCAGTCAGGGCACATACAAGAATCAACCAAGGAATGCATAAATAAGTGGAACAGCAATTCTCTCTCTCTTTCTCTCTCAAAATCAATAAGTATATTTTTTTTAGAAAAGAAAATTGAGCCCTTGCCTGTTTAGTGGTTAGAGCTTTGACCCACGGACTGAAGGGTCCTGGTTTCGACTCCAGCCAAGGTGCATGTACCTCTGTTGCAGGCTCAGCCTCACCCAGCGTGAGTGGGAGGCAGCCAATCGATGTGTCTCTCTCACATCGATGTTTCTCTCCCCCGCCCTTCACTCTCTCTCAAAATCAAAGGAAAAAATATCCTTGGTGACAACAGCAAAAGGGACACAGCCCTGGACCTCATGGAACTCTGTTTAGTAGAAACAGACAAATAAGCACACACACCTCCTTGCGCAGCCACGGGGGAAAGAGTGGCGTTCCCCATGGGGCAGCATGTGCAGAGGCGCTGAGCTGTGACCCTTGAGCCTGAGGATCTTGCAGGGCACCTGCTGAGACCTGTGGGAAGGACACTCAGGAGAGAGGGCACTGGATATATGGAGCAAAGGGCCAGCCCCGAGAGGGTAGGGGCCTGAGCGGCTGGGCTTGATGGGACATGAGGACCGTACCTGGCCCTGCTCCCACCCCTGCCCCGACTGTGCCTCCTGGTCCTAGATCCTGAGCAACCTGGTGATGGAGGAGCTGGGCCCTGAGCTGAAGGCGGAGCTCGCCCCACGGCTGAAGGGGAAACCGCAGGAGCGACAGCGGCAGTGGATCCAGGTGGGTGGCCTGGGCTGGGGGCTGGGAGTCTGCAGCTGCCTGGCGCCCTCGGCCCAGCCCTGACCCCGCATCTCTGGCCCAGATCTCCGACGCCGTGTACCGCATAGTGTACGAGCAGGCCAAAGCGCACTTTGAGGCGGTGCTGTCCAAGCTGCTGCTGGCCCGGCCGGCCATGGAGGCGGTCATCCGCACCGACATGGACCAGATCATCACCTCCAAGGAGCACCTGGCCGGCAAGATCCGCGGTAGGCGGGCTCCCCGAGCTTGTCTTCGCTGTGCTGACCTGCGGGGCGACCGGCCCTCCGGGGCCAGGGCGGGCCTCCTTCTGTTTCAGGGCCCGTGCGCATTTCCCAGCAATGACCCGATTTGTTAATTGTTTTATTTTTTATTTTTGTTTAAAAAAAATTTTTTTTTAAAATATCTTTATTGATTTCAGACAGAGGAAGAGAGAGAGACAGAAACATCAATGATGAGAGAGTCATTGATCGAGCCCACAACCCAGGCGTGTGCCCTGACCGGGAATCGAACCCTGATCGCCTGGATCCTAGGTCGATGCTCAACCTCTGAGCCACGCCCGGCTGGGCTCGTTGATTGTTTTAAAAAATCGAAATCAAATCTGAGCCATTGCTTGCCCCACCCCTGTGAGCTGTGTTGTAGCTGTGGTTTCTATAAACCCAGACCTTGAAGAGCTGAGTGTTTGTCACGGAGGGTCAGCCTTCTGCTCCTCTCGGTCGATCACAGATTTTCACCACGTGTCGTTTCAGCAGACGTCAGCCTGACACTGATGAGTCACTTTCCCCAAGTCTAACTTTTCCCAGTCAGTGTATGCTCCTTTCTGTTCCCATCCAGATGGGATCCTTTCCATCCCTTGTCACCACAACACATTGGCCAAGAGTTGTCAGTTGCCCAAGAGTTATTCTTTACGGGCTGTGTTCACTGTGAGCGGATAGGACGCCGAGACGAGAGTTGCCATTTATTCTGTGGAACAAACAACACTGGCTGGACAGAGGAGAGGGAGGGACGTCAGAACACCCCAGGGTACAAATGCCTTGGTCAGAGTGTCCTGGAGATGGTCCCTGTCCACAAGGTCACAGCCTTTCACATGGTCACGCTGAGCCAGGCCACGCATTCCAGAGCAGGATCAGGGTTGGCGTTTGCAATACCCAGAGGCTCATTGAATCTACTAAAGTTGTTACCATTTTTTTAAAAATAAATGAGCAAACACCCCAAAGATGCTGTTTTCTATGTCTAGCTGAGCAGAAAAACTGCCAACACCTTTAGACCAGCAGTTCTCTTAGTCTTAGTTTCACCGCAGTTTCAGGAATATCAGAGTCCAATCTCAGAAGACCGTGTCCTTTTGGCTCTGTGGATTTATTGTCCTTACTGTCTCTAAAGTCATTGTTTGCTGCTGTTGTCATCACTGGCTTTCTTTAAAAAAACAAACAGCCCGGCCGGGCGTGGCTCAGCCGTTGAGCATCGACCTAGGATCCAGGCGATCGGGGTTCGATTCCCGGTCAGGGCATGTGCCCGGGTTGCCGGCTCGATCCCCAGTCGGGGGCCTGCAGGAGGCGGCCGATCAATGACTCTCTCATCATGGATGTTTCTATCTCTCTCTCCCTCCCTCTCTCTGATATATTTTTAAAAAAACAAAACAAAACAAACAAACCAAACAAGCCCAATCGCCTGCCTCTAGCCTCGGGGTCCAGGGTGGCTGGGAGCTGCCCCAGGGGGACACCAGCTAACCGACTACCTCTGGGCGCAGCCTTCATCCTTCCCAAGGCGGAGGTGTGCGTCCGGAACCACGTCCAGCCCTACATCTCGTCCATCCTGGAGGCCCTCATGGTGCCCACCAGCCAGGGCTTCACCGAGGTGCGGGATGTCTTCTTCAAGGAGGTCACCGACATGAACCTGAACGTCATCAATGAGGGCGGAATCGACAAACTGGGCGAGGTGAGGCTGCCCTGACCTCCGGGCGGGGAGCCCTCCTGGGTTTAGGTCTGGGCAGCCCTCGTCAGGCCCTCAGTGACCCGGGTGGGCCACTCCCCTCCGGCATAACCTGTAAACGGCTGAGGGGCCGAGTAGGAGAGGCTGAAGCTGTTGGCTGTTAGAGAAAAGGGGGAACTTGACCCCCTGCCAGCAGCCTTCCTAAGCCAAGCTAGTTGCTAAAATATCAAAGAACTTAACAGAGAAGGGAGGGAGGGGAGGAAGGAACTTAACAGAGAAGGGAGGGAAAGGGAAGCTTTAGATGTGAGGAATGTAATTGTCAAGGTGAGTTAAATACCTGTGTGCCATTCACATGACCCACCATTGAGACAGCCCAGCTCTCCCACTGTCCCTCCGTTTTCTGGTTCTCGGGGTGAACGCCCTTCCACAGGCCCCATATCGGGGTCCTTGGCTGCCTGGGGCTCCACCTGGTTGTCAGGTGAAGATGGAATTGGTCCTGTAGTCTTAGCCTCTTCCATACCTCAAATCAGACAGCCCACAGGCAATATAATCACAGAATCTGAGAAGCAGAAAGGACTTTAGAAATCACGACACATCATCTGACTTTGAGGCTGAGTAACCTGAGGCTTAGAGAGGGTGAGTGACCTGCCCAAGGCCACCCAGTGCCCCAGAAGGGAACAGGACCCATCTCCTAGCACCCAGGTTGGGCTGCTGGACCACTTTCCTCCTCTCCAGCTCCCCATCCTTTCTGTCTCAAGCCCTCCCGGGCTTGCCCTTCTGGGCACCCCCTGTCCTCGGCTGCTTTCCCTGGTGCTAGTGCCAGCCCCAGGGCCTCAACTCCGAGGGCCCAGTAAGGCGTGGGGCTGCCGGGGCTGCCGGGGCTGCCCGGCCAGTCAGGCGGCCCCAGCTCAGGCCCCGCACATGCCTTCCTCCCTGCAGTACATGGAGAAGCTGTCCCAGCTGGCCTACCACCCTCTCAAGATGCAGAGCTGCTACGAGAAGATGGAGCCGCTGCGGCTCGACGGGCTGCAGCAGCGTTTCGACGTGTCCAGCACGTCCGTGTTTAAGCAGCGAGCCCAGATCCACATGCGTGAGGTGGGCCAGAGGCTCCTGCCCCACACACGCCACAGCCCTGTCCCTTCCACGGTCCCCATCTCCTGGGAGAGTCGCCCACTCCCTGGCTCCACCCTCCACGTGTGCCGCCCTGTGGCCACGCTCAGCCCTTCGTGCTCTCCCGCTCCGGTCTCAGGTGCTCTCCCATCTGTTTGGAACACCCGTCCCTCTGTTCACCTGGCTAATTCAGACTCATCTTTCAGGTCTCAGCTTAGAGACCCCTTCCTCCATGAAGCCCTCCTTACTCCCCAAGCCCCCAAACCCCTTCCTGCAGGGCCCGGGACCTCTGTTTCCTATTTCCTTGAGGCAGGGTCCGCCCGGTGCCCAGCACTGTGTCAGCACACAGCAGATGCTCAGTAGCGATGTGAGGGTGTGAGCACCGAGTGAGCGCACGCGCCACCCACTCCTCCCCGGCCGGCCTGGGGCGGCTGGCTGAGCAGCCTCTTGGAGGCATGCAGAAGGGGCTGTGGGCACTCCCGGGCCTTCATGTACCCCATGGTGTGCCCCACAGCAAATGGACAATGCCGTGTACACCTTCGAGACCCTCCTGCACCAGGAGCTGGGCAAGGGGCCCACCAAGGAGGAGCTGTGCAAGTCCATCCAGCGGATCCTGGAGCGCGTGCTGAAGGTGAGCGGCTTCGCCCCCTGACCCTTGACCTGCCCTAAGTGCGGCTGAGCCCTGAGTCCAGACCGCTGGCCTTCCATCCTCGTGCCAGGGGCCTGTGGGGCCCACGGACTCTGAGCCCCGTTTCCTCTTTCGTGGCAGAAATACGACTATGACAGCAGCACCGTGCGGAAGCGCTTCTTCCGGGAGGCGCTGCTGCAGATCACCATCCCGTTCCTGCTCAAGAAGCTCGCCCCCACCTGCAAGTCGGTGAGCGGCCCCTCGGCCACCGCCCCCTTGGTCCCGGGGAGCCAGCCTGACGGGTGGGGCGGAGCCCACGGGCCCTCTCTGCCCCGAGGCCCTGACCACCGCTCTCTGCCCCGTGCCCACCTCGCCTTGCAGGAGCTGCCCCGGTTCCAGGAGCTGATCTTCGAGGACTTTGCCAGGTTTATCCTGGTGGAGAACACGTACGAGGAGGTGGTGCTGCAGACGGTCATGAAGGACATCCTGCAGGGTGTGTGCCAGCGCCCCTGCAGGAGGCCCCCCGGGGCTGGCTGGGGGCTGCCCCACTGCTGCTGGGATTCTGATCGCCAGGAGGGTGGTGGGGTCAGCGAAGCTGCAAAGAAAATGAGATTTATGCCTCTGGGCCAGGGTAGGCCCACTGTTAACTGTGTAGCCACAGGAGGATAGCATCCAGTCTCTGTGCCTTAGTTTCTTCATGGGTCCTTGACATTCCGGGAGTGTCAGATGAGTGACAGGGTGACACGGTGGTTACCAGCGTGGGCTTTGGGTTAGGGTCACGGCTCCTCCTTCCTTGCAGTGAGGCCTGGAGTAAGTCATATCCCAATTACAACACCCGCTCAGGCCGTGGGGAGGCCCCTGGGGGATGGTGCTGGTCACATTTGGGCACAGCAAAGAGTGTGGTGGCAGCTGTCGTCCCTGTGGTCAGTGTCCTGATGCACCCCTTTGACCCTGCAGCCGTGAAGGAGGCAGCCGTGCAGAGGAAGCACAACCTGTACCGGGACAGCGTGGTCCTGCACAACAGCGACCCCAACCTGCATCTGCTGGCCGAGGGCTCACCCATCGACTGGGGTGAGGAGTATGGTGGCAGTGGTGGCGGCAGAGGGGACAGTGGCAGCCCCAGCCCCGGTGCCCAGGAAGCAGCCACCACCTGGGAGAAGCGACGGCGAGCCAAGCAGGTGGTGTCCGTGGTCCACGATGAGGAGGCAGGGCTGCCCTTCGAGGCTAGCCCTGAGCCACTGTCACCTGCGTCCCTGGACAGTGTCACTGAGGTCCGTGACCTGCTGGCCCAGGATCTGCGAGCTGAGAGTCCCCCACCGGCCTGCCCCCTGATCAATGGGGCCCCCGTGCAGAATAGCTCCCAGCCCGTGATCATCCTGCCAGCTTCGGGCTCACCACCTGCGGGCTCACCACCTGCGGGCTCACCACCTGCAGCCTCCTCGCCACCTGCGACCTCTTCACCACCTGCATCCTCCTCACCACCTGCCTCGATTGTCCCCACCCCCACCCCCGTCCCGCAACTCCCAACTGGAAAGGCTGTGGACCTCGAGCCTTCGAAGCCCAATGACCAGGAGACCGGGGAACAGGAGTCCAGCCCTGGAGGCCGCCCCCCCATCCACACCACCACCGAGGACAGCGCAGGGGTGCAGACTGAGTTCTAGGCTGTCGCACCTGAGCTGCTGTTGGACAAGGCACACGGGCCCCTCCCTCTGAGGCACTGACAAGCTTGGCTCCGGCCGGAGCAGGGATCTGTGCCTCGGGGTGGGGCTGGGCCCGGATGAGCCCACCTGAAGTCACTTTATTGGGTTCGGTCCTACTTTGTTTTCTCTTCTGGAGGTGATCTCAGCTTTCCTGCTTGTGCTGGGGGCCGAGCGTAGCTGAGGGAGCTGGGGAGCACCTAGTGGCCCCAGTTCTCTGGGTCCTCCCTTTCTGTCTGTTCTCTGTGACCTGTTCCCCTTGTGGGTCTTGCCATCCTTGCAAAGAGGGAGGTCAAGGCACCATCTGCTGTGACTCAGAGCCCGAGTCCCCTCCCCTCACCAAAGGCTCATTGGAACCAGGAACATTAAGCGCTGAGGCCCACCTCTGGGCCTCACTCCCCTCCCTGCTCTTCCAGGCCGGGCCCAGAGGCCAGTTCCCGAGTGGACAGTGGCCTCGCTTTCCCCACCCTGGATGAGGGGAAGCGCAAGGAGGGCGTCTTCAGCCTGGAGGACGCTGGGGGGGGGGTGCTTCATGAAGGGAGATGGGGCCACAGGCTGGGGATGGAATGAGAAAGGCCCGGAATGTGCTGGTGCGGGGTAGGAAGTGTCCGAGGGCGGGAGCGAGCCTTGCGAGCAGGCGGCCAGAGGGCAGAGGCTGCTGGAGGCCGCGCGGGCCTTCAGATCCCCGACTTCCAGCCGCAGCAGGCTCCTCCGGCTTGCTTGCCGGCACCCAGTCTTCAGGAGCCCCTCTGTCCCGCCCCTGTGTCCCCCTGGGTTGGGGCTGAGGGGAGGGCGGCGCTCTGCTCAGAGGCAGGGTTTAGCGGGTGTGGATTCTGTCCTCCGTGGGCCACCTCCAAGGCACATGCTGTCCACCGAGGGAGCTGGTAGGGCTCCTGAAGGGCCGTGGCTCCCTGATGCACGCTGGTGGCCGCTCTGAGGATTTGGGGTCAGGCTGTGGCTTGGCCCTTGCTGCCTGAGTCACCAAGTCACCTTACCCTGAACATTCCAGGCCCTTTTTACAATGTGAGTTGCTTGGGGCCAAAGGCTTGTCCACGGCTTCTTGTTCCTGGGGGTGAGGATGAAGCCAGGGCCACACCCAGCCTGGCAGTTCCAGACCCTCCAGACTGCTTTGAGGAGAGGTCGGCAGGGCAGAAAATGACTCGTTCAGGGTCCTCAGGGTGGGGCCCCCGCCCAGCCTTGCACCCTCCCTTGTTCTGCTTCCTGGGGCCCGGGCTGTGGACCCCCAGGACGGGTGGCAGAGGTTGGTGCTCAGGATCCCTCCACCACCAGCCCTAATCTCAGATGCCTCACTAACCTCTCCTACCAACACATTCCGTCTTAAGATGTTCTCCTCTAGTGCCTTTTGGTGTTTTCCAGTCTTTCAGACATTGTATTGAAAATATTAAGTGAACTGTTTAAGCTTCTACTAATCAATAAATGCTTTATTTAAAGCCAGCGACCTGTGCGTGGTGCCGGCAGGGGACCTGGGCTAGAGACTGCGTCTGGGCCTGTCCATGCGCCCAGCTTTCTGGGCTCCCTTGACTGAGCACCTCTAGGTCAGACTTACGTTATCCCCACAGGGGAGGAAACTGAGGCTCAGAGAGAAGACGAAGAGCATGCAGGTGCCTGGCCCACTGGCGGCTCAGGCAGCTTCCTCAGCTAAGTGTGGGCAGGGTGCTCTTCGGGAGCCTCACGTGACCGGCCAAGAGAGACTCCGGCAGCTTTAAGGCCACTTGGCCATGAGGCGCCCACAGTGGGGTAGGCGGGCCCCTGGCTCATTCTGGATCCCAACAGCGATGCCAACGTTCTCAAGACCCCTGACCACACAGCCAGCGCTCGCTGTGGGCGGTGCCCCTTACATGCACAGCTCCAAATGATGCCATCATCACCGTGTCGCCATTGGTGGGGCCCAGAAAGGTGGGGAACCTTGGCTGAGGTTTTGGGACACAGGACCCCCCCCCCACACACACACACAACTGGTGGGATGAGTTGCCTCGTCCATGGGTAAAAACGTTCCTCCTGGGTAGATGGCAGCGTCACTGTGGGGGATGTTGGTTTCCTTAGTACCAGCCTGTCCACAGTGGCCAGTGGCTGAGGGCTTGTCAACGAGGGCTGGGGTGTGGAACTGCAGGGGCTACGGGGCCAGAGACTAGGGGCTCAGCTGCAGTCTCACTGTTGCCCTCGGCAAGTCACTAACTTGGCCTGAGGGTCCTCACCGATAAAATGGGAATCACCAAAGTCCTTTCTCCCAGGGCAAACGTTGTGCTCTGTGAAGTGGCCCTGCCCACCTCAGGCCTCAGTCTCCCCACTTGACCAAGGGGAGCCCAGGAGGGTGAGTGGGGAGGGAGAACCCTCAAAGGTCTCCAGGAGGAAGGAGACATCGTTGGGAGAGGGCCCAGCTCCTGCCTGGAAAACAGGACTCACATCACAAGGGGTCTTTGTCCACTTTGGCCCACAGGATTGATGGATGGTCCCAATGAGGTAGGGAAACAGGTCCAGAGCTCTTTCTGCCACCCCAGGGCCTGTCCCCTGTATCCGGCTGGCTCTTGGACTGTACCTGGGGTGAGCACTTAGAGCCCTATCATGTCCCACACTGAATGGAAGGGGAAATAGAGTCTGGAAGGCTGGCCAGGGAGTCAGAGGTAGTGGCAGAGCCCAGGCGCCTGAGCAAGTCTGCCTCCAGCCCAGAGAAAATGCTGTCCTCAGCTTAACCATTTGCCAGAAAAGGCACAATAAATGTGCAACTCTCAGCAAGAACAGGGTCTGTACAACTGCACTGGTCCAAACCCAGCACTGCGGTGTCCCAGCTGCAAGGTCCGGGGCATTCACTCCCTCAGCCTGGGCTCCCTCGTCTGGGATGGTGACAGTGGAGCGCACAGCGCAGGCCCAGCATGGCACAACCTGCTCAGGCTGACTCCTGCCCTTCTCTCAGTCCGTGTCTCCACCCCTATCAATGGGAGGTTTGCATAACTTCACCTTCGGAACGTCTCTGCCTCCTCCCTCCTGACTGAGGTGCAGCCATCTCCGGATCCCATCCTAGGCCCAGGGCCCTTCCCCTCCCCAGGCTCCATCAGGGCCCAGTGATGACTCGGAAGCAGGCTGGAAGTGAACAGGTTTATTGATGTTCCTGCTCGGGGTCTGCAAAGCTCATTCCCTGCCCTTGAGCCATATGGGGTGAGGTGGTGCAGATCTGGAGAATAGAAGGGCCAAGAGCTTTGAGGGGCAGCAGTGAAGGAGGCAGGGAGGGACTGATGTCGCCTGTGGCACAAGGCTTGCACTGAACACCTTCCAGCCGATCAATCAGCCCGTGGTGGCCTGTGGTCACCGGCTCCATCTGTGGCCTCCTCTCCCCGCACCAGGGTCCTCCTGCACTCCCACTGCCCTGCTGAAAGGGACAGCACTGTCTGTGTTCTCCTGACGAGGACCCCGAGGCTCTTGGAGGGAAAGGGACCTGCCATAGTCAGCTGGGAGGTGGCAGAGCCACACTGGCCAGGACACTCCCTGGTACACCGTGAGGGATCCTCTCTTACACAGTATTCAGGTCATCGGTCAGGAACACTCACTTTCTGCCTGGGCCCAGCCCAGACGTCTTGGAGATCAGGGGTGGGGGGCACCCTCCTGGGCTTGGGGCAGGGCCCAGGACAGAGGGGGCCTTACTAGTCTGCGGAGAGCAGGGGGTGAGCTGGAGCCCTGGGCCTGCGGGTGGCAGAGGTGGGGGGGCCAGGGCCCAGGCCGGCACTCAGCTGCTGTGGTAGATCCGGAGGCGCTGGGCGATCTCCTGGCGGCACAGCGGGCACGTGCGCAGTGGCTGGCAGCACTGCGGGCAGCAGCAGACGTGGCCGCAGTTGAGGAAGATCATCTGGGCCTGAGGACAGAGTGGGAGCGTCTGGGCTCTGCCATGACATGTGGTCATCCTCAACCTCCACTACCCCAGAAACGCATCACACACGGCAAGTGAAAGTCTAGTCCTTCCTTCTGATAGAGTTTGGCACTGTTTCTCCATGTCTTGTTAAAAATCTATAAATACCTGTAAGCCCCACCCCTTTCTAAAATGAAACTGGCCTGTCTTCTCTGATGTTTTACTAGTCACTTTCTCTGCCACCCTCTCTCGGTTTGACACTGTGGTGCCATGTCTGTGAGCAGGGCCACTGTATCGAACCAGCCCTGCTGCTGGACGGACATTAAGGTTGTTCCCAATTTTTGTTCCTTTGCCCAGCCCCTCAGTCTAAAAGCGATTCCAACATTATGGCCCAGAAGTCATGTCTACGCTTTGCTCCAGCATTCCCTCTTTTTAGGAATTTACCGTAAGCCAATAACCAAGGCTGTGCTCCCAGCCAGTTCAGGCTGCTCAGCACAGCACTGCTTGTAATAACAAGAGACTGGAAGCCAACCTACGGGGCCCCAAAGCAGGGATCTGGTTAAATTTATAACCACCGAGTCCTTCCACATCATGCCTGCCCCAGGTCTGGTAAAGCCCAGGGGCAATCAAATGCTCTAACACAGTCGCCTTTTCTAAGTAGGATCGCATGGTGGCGGGAGGGGTGGATTTAAATTTTATATGCTATGTTGTTTAATTTTTACCGTAAGGGTGAATGTTACAGTTTTTTAAGAGAGAGTTTTAAAATAGCCTCTTCAGAGAAAATTGTGTTGTTGATATTTAACGACTTGGGAAACTTTCCTAAATATATTTGTTAAGTACGGAAAAAAATCCTTCCTGGAAAAAAAAAAGCCCAGAAAATGATGTTAGCATTGCTCATATTTGGGTTGTGGGATCATGGGTCATTTTTATTTCCTGTATTCTCCACAATTTCTAATGAACACAGTATGCTTACAAAACTAGAAAAAAGTGTTTAGGAAGACTACTGCCTGGAGAGGCGTGGGTGGTCGCAGGCAGGGGCAGGCTGACAGGTGGGGGTGGCCAGCTCCTGCCCCAGACTTACCTCCCGTTCCAGGCACACGACACACTCTGAGGTCTGCACCTCCAGCTCCATTGGGGGAGCTGATGGCCTCACGGACTCAGGAGACTCCTCAGGGGCAGTGGGCTCCAGGGCCCCAAGGACCTCGCCCTGGGGTGCTTTCAGAAGCTCTGTGAGGATGAGAGAAAGAGGGTGAGCCAGGGCAGGGCCACTCTCAATGATCCCAACCCCTAGGGGATGCCCCTGGCTTTGCCTGCCCCATGTGGACAGTGAGCTGGAAGGTGAGGGAGCTCTGATCTCAGAATCAGGGGAAGGGCTGTCTTAACACAGCCCCCCTCATTTCTCTTGAGTCTCATGCCCCATCTGTAACATGGGAGTGCTGGGACACTGGCAGGGAGGGTCACAGCACTGGTTAACTGGGGCCTCTTACCCCTAATGTCCCCTGAACCCTTAAGGGCCACCTTGCAAGTAGGACTTTGTCACTAAGAGATGAGAAACTGGAGCTCAGAGAGGGGAAGCCACTTGCCCAAGGCCACAGCACCATCTGGTGGCTGGGCCGCAGCACAGGAGCCCTTGGTTGGGGTTCTGGGACGGGCTGAGCCTCCCTTTCAGCTTTTCCACCCAGTGACCCAGGAGATAGGCTGGCTACTGCCCATTAGGACTCAGAGGAGCAGGGAAAGGAGAGAGTAGTCCCCACAGCTGCTCCCCTCAGCCCCCTGGCAGAGCCCCAAGCCTGCCCACTGCTCTGACCTGGAGCTAGCACCCAGCCCTGAAACAGGACATCAGAAGGGCCCTTATAAAACAGTCTCTCATTATCATGAAGTGTGCACCCCTGACATCCCTGTCCTCAGCCCTGATCCCCACCATTATCACAGTTAATGTTTCACTGATTCTATGGTTTGAATTACAAATAGTATTTTTTTATAATTGGAAAAAATCCAGGAGGTTTTTTAGAGGTTATTACAACACTAGACACTCTAAGGGTATCAGGGCGTCCCAGACCATCGTGGTAAAGAGGCCCTTCTATATTTAATATAACACGTATCAAGTCCTGGGCACAATTCAAGAATTGGTGGGAAAATGCCTGAGGATCTCCTGTCTCTTCTGGAGCTAAGAAGGAACCTCCTGCCACAGACCCCTCCCCAGTGGGGTGGGCACAGCCAGGAAGAAGCCCCAAGCAGCAGAGGCACCACAGCACAGCAGGGCCATTCTAAGATGGGGATTAGCTAGGAGCAGGGAGGGCTCCTGCTAGCTCTGGGGTTGGTGGGGTGGGGGATGGTGAGAGGCTGCCGGTCTGGATGCTGGAGGGGCTCAGAGTGAGGGGGCACCTGCAACTCCTGCTGGAGGGAGGTATATCTGTTAGGGTTAGGGCGACCCCCAGTCCTGATGCCAAACTTTCTGATCTCCACTCCGAGAACAAGAGGGGCGTTAGTGCTGGGGAAACAAACATCTGGAAGGGGTCTACTTTGCACACTACTTGGTATTAAAGGACTGGAAGTTCAACGACTTTTTCTTAGGTAGGGTCAGTCCCTGGAGTAGAGTTGGCTGGAAAGCTGGAGTCTGCAGATGGCACAGCGCTGCTGTCAGCCCTGACACCTGAGGACCCAGGGCCTCCTCTCAGCCGGCAGCCCGAGCTCCTACCTCACCCCTGGGGCCTGGTCCACCACCTACACCTTCAGCCTCTGCCCCAAACAGACCCTGCCCACGGGACGGCCAGCCTGGCAGCCTGTTCTCTCCTTCATTCTTGCTCTAGGCGCCGAGCTTCCTTTCGCTCGTCAAGGCCCCTTGGGGCGAGGGGGCAGCAAAGCCCAGTGGTTTAGCTACTTGCCAGCTGAGTGACGTTATGGGACACGAGTTAACCCCTCTCTCCCTCAGTTTTCTCACCCCTCAAATGAGGATTAAAACATTGCCTACCTGGTGGGGTTGAAACAAGTGACATGAAACGGTACATGTGAAATGGCTGGCAAATGCCTGGCACCTGGGTCATGCTCTACACACAAAGACTTGATCTCCATGCCTGTCCTTAGGGCAGCCACAGCGCCTGCCCTCTCCTGGCCTCCGAGGGGGCGGAGAGCCTTCATGATCTGCACTTACCCTCACAGCCCGGACCTTAAGGACTGGCAGGGGCTAGGAAAAGAGATGACCGCCCCCAACCACAGTCCACATGCAAGGTTGGTGCCGGTACCTGGCTGGATCCTGGCCACGTCCAGCAGCTCCTGGACTCTCCGCAGGATCTCATGTTGTAGGCCAGCTTCCGAGACACCCACCTACAGAGTCCAGGAAGAGCAGACTGTCGCCTGGGCTGGGCGGGAGCTGCCGGCACAGCATGGAGCCATGGGGACAGCCTCACTCCTGGCTGCTGGCACCTTCGGCTGGAAATGAGGGGGCCTACCTGGCCCAGTATGCCTGGGCTCAACCACCAGTGTGGCAGAGGGAGAAACTGAGGCCCAAAAGGAAGCCAACACCAGTAACAGCTATGGCTCAGCAGGTGCCTCCCCTATGCCAGGGACTGCTGATAGCTCCACCTGCGTGACCTCATGCTGCTCATGACAACCAGTAATCCAAGACTCTCCACCACAGTTCATGAGGAAAAGACCAGAATTGAAAGTGCTTGAGCTCAGGCGACATGGCTCCCGTGTAGCCCTGCAGTTTGGGGGTAACCCTATTGCAAAATGGTCAGCAGCACAGACTCCGTCACCAGACTCCTCGGCTCAAGTCCTGGCTCTGTTGTGTGACCTCAGGCAAATTACCACCATAGTGTGTGTCTCGGTTTCCTCATCTGAAAAATGACCACGATAATCCCAGCCTGCCCAGGTTGTCAGGAGGAGTCAATGAGTTAGTGTGCGAAAGTGCTGAGAACAGAGTCCCGCACCGGCGAGTGCGACAAAGATGGGAGCTTTCATTGCCATTCGCCTCTTCTGAAGAGTAAGGGAATGAGTGCAAGGTACCCAGAAAGTAACCGGGCGCAGGTGGTGCTGCTGTTACAAGATCTCTACAACTGTGGGGTGGGGTCGGGACCAGGTGACCTCCAACGTAAAGATCCAATCTGAGAGGCAGGGTGGTCTGGGCCAGCAGGACCCACATCCCTGGATTTTCTTAGCCTTAGGGTGTGTAGGGCACGCCCAGCTGGCTGGGGGCGGATGGGGCAGGTGTTCTAGCCACTGGAAGCAAGGGCGTCCTGGGACATTTGCTAGTAGCAGACCTCACCAAGAACTGCAAGAAGAGCAAGCTGACCCGTGGCCAGGTTGGACCAGTGGCCCAGCTCGCCTCCCTAGCCTCCCCCGAGAGGCAGCGGCTGCCCACCTTGGCCAGGTCCCCGGGGCTCATCCGGCTCAGCATGTCCAGCGAGATGCGGTGATGGGCAAAGATGGGCAGGTAGTGCTCGGCTGACAGCTCCACCAGCAGGGCCGCCAGCTCGCGCTCCATGCCTTCTTCCTGCACAAGAAAAGCCGAGGGCGTCACGAATGGGAAGAAAACAAGGAGCCATTATTTATACCAGCAAACAAAGGGTCGGAATATATACGATATACGTGCAAAATGTACTCTTGGAAGTTTTCATACAGAAATTCACATGTAAGGGCATAGAGATAAATGTCCATATGCTACATGCTACGCAGCTGTCTGGAAACAATAAGGACATCTATACGCACAGGCCTGGACAACTGCCCGTCACTACTGCTAAGAGAAAAAAGAAGTTGCCAAATAGTATGTAGAGAAAGACTCCATTTTTATTTAAAATTTAAAAAAAAGTGTGGGGAGTAGAGACAGAGAGAGAGGACCACATCTGCTTGTTCAGAGCAGGTGCTTAGTGACAGCACTGTCACCCACCTGCGCTGGCGTGCAGAGCAGGCCCTGCCCCACTGCGGGCTCCTGGGTCTCTGCCACTCACGGCAGGACCAGCGGCTGTCTGCCCCTCACCAGAACAAACCCTCCCTCTCTCATTTCTGTCCCCCTGGGGTCTAGCACTGGATCTGGTACACTAGCCACCAGAAATATGAATGAAATTAAACTGGAAAGATCAAGAAGCAGGGTATCCCTGAGGCTCCCGGCAGGCCGGCTGCCATCAGTTCTTACCTGCAGCTTCAAGGACAAGGGTTTCTGGTTCAAAAGCCGCTGATACTGAATCAGCCAGTAATTTTCCTGCTTGGTTTCGCTTTTGGCTTCTAACTCCCTCTGCCAAGAACGAAGCCGATACTGTTAGTTACAAAGAGGTAAATCAAAACAATAATGACAGTGATGACTGTGAACTATGTTCCTCCAAGCATGTGGATGGACACGGTATTTTACAAACAGCTCTCCTGCCCACTCTCATCGCAGCATGTGAACTGCAGACACAGAAGGGCGGGAAGCGTCGCTCTCCCCAGCTACTGCTGAGAAGGATCAGACGCCACACACCGGGCAGGGGCCTGGACCTGGGCTGCAGAAACCGGCCCCTCGCTTTGGGCACTAGTCTGGGAGGGGCACTTTTCTCCTCTGCTTGTGGGAACAGCAAAGTACTGGGCAATCACCTCCTCCCACAGAGCTTGGGCTGGTCTCCTGGGTGCCAGGCAGGGAAGGAAATAGGATCCCAAAGACTCCGTCAGCTTCCGGAGTGGCCTTCGCCGCCTAACAAAGCTGGAGGCCTATAAACATGCTATAGAAACGAATTTCTTTGTTCTGTCTTCCAACAAATATCCCATGAGAGCTGTTCTGGGCCAGATACTGCTCTACATGCTGGGGACAGCAGTGAGTGCTAAGTGCCAAACTGTGCTGTGCACCAAGGCGCCGTTTCACTTAATTCTCACAACTCGGAAATGGGCTCTATTCCACGAGTGAAGAAACCGAGCTTCTGAGGGATTAGTAGCCTGGCCCAGGTCTAAGAGCTGCCCAGTGTCAGGGCCAGGATTCAGACCTGGGTCTGCTTTGCTCCGGAGCCTGGGTCTGCACAGCGGGGTGGCCCAGCCAGGACTGCAGCCGCATACGGGGCCAGATGCAACGTGGGAACAGGGTTTCAACACAGGCATTTCCTAGTGCCCTTGGGGGCCTGGCTGCCCTTTGGTGGTCACTCCTGGACCTTGCCGAGCTGGCTCCCTCTTCTGGGAGTCAAACCCATTTGGGAACAGGGCAGTTGGGCAACTCCTGCCAAAGGCTAATTAAAAGGCCTGCCTTGGACACAGCAGTTCCTCTCCTGGGCATCCGTCCTGAGTAAATGCTCAGCTGTTCTCAAATACTTAGCTGCAAGGACGCTCAGAGAGCACTGCATATAAGAGGCAAGAACGGGAAGCAGTCTAAATGCTCAACAGGCTAGTGATGACCTATCCAAACGCAGCCATGACAAGAATAGAGACGAGTGTTTTAGCGACATGAAAAGAACGGAAGAAAACAAGCTGGTCATCAGGGCCAGGCGCTGCTTTAGGGCTGGGCATGTGCCTGCACAGCTACAAATAGGCACCACAATGTTTGAAAAATATACGTCAAACTGTTAGCAACAGACAACTCTCAGAAGTGAGTATTTTCCTTTGTACTTTCTGGTTTCTCTTTGATGAACAACTATGATTTGAATAACAAAAGTGTTTCTAAGAACCACAAGTGTGCGGAGGGAAAGCAAACCCCTGTGCGAGCTGACACGGAGCCCAACGCACCAGGATTGCCTGGAGTTCTTTCTCTCGTTGTGTCTTCTCTTTGAGCAGCTGTTGGAGCAGGTCGGTGAGAGCCCAGCGCTGCTCTGAGATCATCTCCTGCAACATAAGACCACACCAGTGCCACTGGAAGCTCATGGCACCCCTGGCGCCAGAAGTCCTAAGGGCGAGGTGCCAGGATCCCCTTCACTGAGTCCTCAGCTGCCAGCTGGGGGCCCATGGAGGGCCCGACTCAATTCAGGGCTCTCTCCACGGTCTCAGGGTGAGAATTAGGGTACACAGCTGAGGGGCCCCTATGCCCGGGCATCCCCACCCCACCTGCTCCTAAGCCTGCACCTCCCTTCCCCATGGGGCTAAGGCCAGGCATGAAATCTGGCGACTGATGTTGGTGGAGTGGTAAGAAACAGCAAATAAAGGAAATGACAAGCCATGAGTATCTGACTTCCTCTTGCTGACTCCAGAGTACGTGGGGGAAGCACATGGCAGGGAGGGCCAGTATGTTACCCTGTCACCCCGCACCAGTCTGGAAGGCTCTACACAGGTGGATGCACATGCAAATCGGAGCAGAGCCCTTGTTTGTATCTGTGTCCCACTCATCTCTTACCTTGAAAACCCCACGGAGGCCCGAAAATGGGAGCCTGCAAGCTCTAATGGGCAAGAGACAAGGGTACCTGCTCTGAGAGTCCAACCCCTCCTCTCTCTGAAGACTGTTTCCAGGCTCACTCTAGGCTTTCCGTTTGCTAGCTCACCCCTCTTTCATGGCCCTGACACAGGCTAGGCCTGGAAGATTACTTCCATTCTATGAAGGAGAGAAATGGAGGTCCAGGGAGGGGAAGTGACTTGCCTAAGGTCACACAGCACACCTGTGGTGGACCTCAGACCAGGACTCCAGACCCCAGTGTTTTTTCCCTGTACTGAGAGGCCCACAAGAAAATAAGACTTCCACAGAGAACAGGCGGCTCTGCTTGAAGGCTGATATAGGTACATGGCCTCACGTACCATTGACATAGCCCCTCTGTGCACAACTGGACTGAGGTGCAGAGAAGGGAAAGGGCGACCCCTTTTCCTCTTCCCGCCCACCTCACACAGCAAGACTGTGCTTGGACAGAACCCAGGTCCTGACTTGCAGTCCCATCTGCTAGTCCCTGTTGCCCCTTCTCTGTGCACAGGATACCGAGCCAAGCTCACAGAGAAGCTGCCTGCAGGGAGCGACACAGTAACAGCTGGGCCCTCTCCTCCAGACATTCCTGGGACACCAAGAAAACTCCTTCCCCAGAGGATATCAGCCTGTGAGTAGAACCAGCACCCCAAAAGCATGGCTTAAGGAGACAGGGAGCTCAGCAGCAACCCTGCTCTAAAACAAACAAAATGCGGAGATGGAGATGTCACCTAGGTGAGCCTTGGCAATGAAACCCTCTTTCCTCTGACCCTCCTGCCTCACAACAAGCTGACCCGACCCTTGACCTCAGCCTTCTGGGACTGGGGCACCCTCCAAGGTCACAGCCAGAGGAGACCTGCCCTGCCTGCTGGAGAGCAGCTGCTGAGAGGCGGTGGGGGACCAGGTGGGAGACTTCATTGCAGGGCAGGGGAGGGACAGGGCAGGCCAGGGAGCCCTACATACCTGTAGTGTCTCTGTGTCCAGGGATTTCCTCTTTAACTCCAGCTGTGTCAGCTGCAATAACTCAGTTTCTATTAACTTAATCTAGACAGAAGATGAGACAGGGTTTTTTATTCACATTAACCACAGTTCAGTTCTGTGCCACTGCTCTCGATGGCCAAGTGGGGTCTTTTCTGGGGGTCTCTGGAGTGAAGGGGCCCTGAGTGCTTTAGGATGTGTGCATGGATATGCTTGTTCTGGTCAATACTACTAACCAATTCTCTTGCTTCCTCTGAATAGCTGTCAGAGAGGGGAGCAGAGGGTTATGGGAGTGATTGAATAATAATAGGAGTAGTAACTGATACTTACTGAGGATTCTGTGAGCTAGACCTGTGCCAGGCACTTTGTCAGTTCATCAATTCTCCTCTGGCTATTAGGAGGTATTATTGCCTCCATTTTATAGACAAGGAAACTGAGGCTCAGAGAGGTTAAGTAACTTGCCTCATGACACAGAGCAGGTAAGTGAGCCTTTTCCCTGGGATGTGGCCTTCTCAGGGTCTAAAGGGGAACAACTGGCCTGGTGGGTCAAAGCCACCCCCAGTGAGAATGTCTAGGGGTCACTGCACACCCTCAGGGTGTGACTGGAGGCTTTTAGCCCTGGGGGGTCAGACCCCATGGCCGATCTCTACCCTGTGACCCTTGTCCCCAAGTTCCTAGGTCCCCACCAACCCCAGGTCAGAGGAATGAGCTTCATGTCGGCTATGTGGGATTGAAATTAAAGAGGGAAATAAAAAGGTAAGCTGGTTTTGGCCAAAAAAGGAAAGAATAAAAAGAGAAAAAAACCAAACATGCAAAATGTAAAATTCAAAGTGTGTCGAATACGATGTGATGAGCGTCCCGCAGCCTGAAAGCGCACCTCACCCTCAGGGAGCCCAGCGCGTCAGCAGCCCCGCTCCCCAACCGCGGCCCCGCCTGAGGTTGGCAGCAGAGCCCGGGTGAGAGATGGTCCCTCCTCCAGGCCCAGCTGACATCAGGGCTGCCCTGTTCTCTCAGGTTGGATATCCAATCTGTCCCAGTTCAGAGCTGATGGGGACGCTGGGGTTTGAGCCGGCTGCCTGGGAAGTGGTCAGCACAGAGGCTGCACAGCAGTCAAGACTGCACACTGCCCTTCCCCTCAGCCCTGGGCAGCGTGACAAGTGGTGACAACAGGACACATTTGCTGGCACTCACAGTGCGGCCTCAGGGCACCTCCCAACAGCCCTGACTGAGGTTCTGGGAGGAGAGGGGAGTTCTGAAGGGAGACCTCCTGCTGAACTGCCATGTGAAGGATTCAATCTTAACGCCGGCCGGTCCAGCCACCTCTGCATGTCTTTGAAAGCTGTCAAGACAGGTCTAGCTGGGGGGCCATGACCCCACACTCACCTGGTTCCTGATCTGCCGATGCATCAGGTCTTTCTTCACTTGGAGAGCCTCAAATGCAGCCTTCTGCATGGCGCTCTGCAACAAGACCACGGCCTGCTTAGCAGGGCACAGGCGCCTTGCTTTCCCAGAGGGACAGCTAAGAGCAGAAGAGCAGACAGGCACAGTGCGCTTGAAGGTGAGAAGGCCAGGTCCTGCATCTCCTCGTGGTGTGGTTACATCTCTCCCTGCCCTTTCTGTCTTCATGGTGGAGGCCCCACAGCACGGGGAGTGGGCGCCCACCAGGGAAGGGGTGCTTCTCTGGATTTCAGTGACCAGAAGATCACCACCCAGAGGCTTCTCCCTGCCCCCTCTTCCTGATGGTTTGTACTAAATGCACTAAGCATACTGGGTCTCACGCTATCTGGAACGGGGCTCCATGTAGTTTTGCCGCTCTGCCCCAATGTGCCCTTCATGCACCCCACCCTCTTGTCCTGTGCAAGGGCTCACCTCCTGCAGGATCTGGCTGATGGCCTTGTTCTGATCCATCTGCTGCCACGAAAGAATCTGCTGGAACCGCATATCCATTTCAGCCATGCTGCCACAAAGAGCACATTCATTTACTCTCTCAACATTTTCTGAGCACATACTATGTGCCACGTACCTTGGAGATCAAGATAAACCATTTATTCATTCAACAATACTCATGGAGTGCCTGCTAGGGGCCATGTTCCAGGCTGGGTGTAGACACAGAATTTGTCTGAGTCCCATGGCGCCGGAAGGAAGGTGACAGAGCCTGTGTCTTGGGAGCTGGGAGATGTGATCTCCGGGTCCTCTCATCCACCCCTCCACCAGGACATGGCCTCCTAGGTGAGCCACTCAGGCCCTGAGAAGGTTGTCCTTCCCAAGCACTAATGTCTGTACTCCCCATCCTAGCGTTTCTTGCCTGGGCAGTGGGTCTACTCTCAGTCCCTAGAGAAGTCTAGTGATTTTGGCACAAAAATCCAAACCTGCAACTTCATGAATGTCTGTACCTGGGTACAATCTTGGTTTTGAGTTTGTTTCATAATAATAGCTGTTACTTATTGGACCCTACGTGGCAGGCTTTGTGTTCATTAATGCTCACTAAAGGCAACTCTAGGGGAAGGTACTGTGACTTATCCCCATTTTTCTGATACGAAGATTGGGGCTCATAAAGAGGAAGTAACTCGCCCAAGACTTCACAGTTACTAACAGAAGAAGTGCCCGTGCTCCTGAGTACAATGTCATATACCAGGAAAAGAGGGAGAGAGTCCTGTGCCTGAGGACACAGGGGAGGCTGGCAGCTGTGCCACCTGGATGGGAGGAGAAACACAAGCACAACCAGGGCTACTGGCCTGCTGCTATCTGAGCATTGACTGGGCTTTTCTTACCTGGCTCTGCCAGACATCTGTGACTCCCTCAACAGACAAACCCACAGTGCCATGGCGAACTTGCAAAGTCAGACCCAGAGTGGCAATCAGCATTGAAGGCAACCCTATCACCGTCCCCCAGTGCACCCTGCCCCTGAGCTGTGCAGACCCTTGGCAATGACGAGAGCACCATAGTCAAGAGCACCCCCCACTCTGCCTGAGTTCGAATCCTGTCGCTGGCTAGCTGTGTTTCCTTGGGTGTGTCACACAGCATCTCTGAGCATGAGCTGTGATTGTAAAATGGGGGTAGTAACAATATAGTCCCTCCAGAGACTCAACAGGCTTACGCATATCACGTGGCCGAGTGCCTGGCATACAGGAAGTGCAGGAGCGGTGGGGATGACAGGCACACCTCCGAGATACTGTGGGTTTGCAATAAAGCGAGTCACAGAACTTTGGGGCTTCCAGTGCACACATATCAGCTATGTTTACACAGTACTACAATCTATTAAGTGTGTAATAGCGCCCGGCTGGGCGTGGCTCAGGGTTGAGCATCAACCCAGGATCCAGGCGATCGCGGTTCGATTCCCGGTCAGGGCACATGCCCGGGTTGCGGGCTCGATCCTCAGTCAGGGGCGCGCGCAGGAGGCAGCCGATCAATGACTCTCTCATCAGTGATGTTTCTCTCTCTCTCCTTCTACCTTCCTCTCTGAAATCCATAAAGATATATTAAAAAAAAGTGTGCAATAGCATTATGTCTCAAAAAACAATGTACATACTAGAATTAAAAAATTCTCTATTGCTAAAAAATGCTAACCACCTGAGCCTGTAGGAAAATGGTGCCAATAGACTTGTTTGAGGCATGTTTGCCACAAACCTTTAATCTGTAAACAATATAATTTCTGTGAAGCGTAATAAAATGAAGCATTGTCACTTTATCATGGCCTAACACAGTCAAGGGGTCCAGCTAGAAAAGTCATGAAGACCAGTCACCACCTGCCTCTGATAGCATGGCAGAGGCCGGGGTGGCCGGGGCTCCCCCAACTCCCTTCCTCAGGAAGCCTCTCCTTACCTTACCTGGAACAGGCCTGCTGGACCAAGTTTTGCCTCTGAGACTCATAGGCCATCTGGATGAAGCGGTTCTTACAGCTCTCGGTCAGCATCTGCTGCATGGCGGCTGAGGAAACATGGAATGGGGCTGAGGGAGCGGCAGCCACCCCTGGGGTGGCCTCGTAGGGTTCACCTAGTCACCCACTTGATTGTCACCCTTCAAAGAAATCCTTTTTTCTTTTTTTTTTAATTAACTTTTAAAAAAATATATATATCTTTATTGATTTCAGAGAGAGGAAAGGAGAGGGAGAGAGAGAGATAGAAACATCAATAATGAGAGAGTCACTGATCAAGCCCGCAACCGGGCATGTGCCCTGACCAGGAATTGAACCCCGACCGCCTGGATCCTAAGTCAATGCTCAACCTCTGAGCCACCCCCAGCCGGGCAAAGAAATCCTTTTTTCTTTACAACTATAAAAGTAACTTCAGCTTGAAAGATTGCTTCATTGTAAAACACGGGACAGCACATACAGAATCTCCTATAATCTGCCACCCAGAGATATTATTACATTTTGATACACATTCTTCCAGTCGAATGTTAATGGATACTTGTGGATTTTAAAACATTGAAGTTAAAAAACTGAAAGCAGAGACAATAGGTATGTGCACATGCGTGTTCACAGCAGCACGATTTGCACCAGCCAAGGGCGGAAGCAGCCCCAGCGCCCACTGACGGATGGCAGGTGAACAGAGCCTAGCACATCCGCACAGTGGAACAGATTCAGCCTTAAAAGGAAGGACGCTCAGAGATGCTGGAGCATGAATGAGCCCCGAGGACATGCTCTGTGAAAGAAGCCAGTCAACAAAGAGACAGATGCCATATGATTCCCCTTAGATGAGGAACCTGGAGTAATCAGACTCACAGCAACGGAAAGTAGAATGGTGGTTGCCAGGAGGCGGGAAATGATGAGTTGTTACTGAATGGGTGGAGTTTCAGTTTTGCAAGACAAAAAGAATTATGGAGATGGGGGTGGTAATGGCTGCACAGTAGTGCACTTAACGCCACAGAACTATACAATTAAAAGCGGTTAAAATGGTATCTTTTATGTTGTATATATTTTACCACAATAAAAAATTAAAATGTTACCACACTAAATATACCACTTCTTACATTTCATGAATACGTCCCCTCTCAAGGGGTTGGTCACCCTGTATAGGTGACCAACAGAGACAGGGCTGTCTACCCTTGTACCCCTACATAGCCAAGCTCTGTCCCCATGAGCCCTCCCTGCTCCCCACCCTGAGACTCACAGGCAATCTCATTTCTTCGCAGGTTCTCTGTCTCCTCCTGGGTTATGGACATCAATTGTTCCATTCTTATTCTAGGAAAACAATCCATTTATTCAGCAAACGTAACATTTCCAATAGGGAATGCCATCAGAAGAACGGCACCTCCTTCAGGAAGTCCTCCTTGATGTGCCAACCTAGATGTGCTCCTGCTGCATCATACCCCTCCACTGGGGCCCTGTTTACCTTCAGCCTTGTAGTTAAGAGTTTCTTACATAAAAAGATGAACATTCCCTTAGAAAAATGGGCAAAGGACACAAACAGCCATTTTACTGATGCTTAAATATAAGTGACCAATAAACATGGAAAGATGCGTAATATCACTGGTAACTAAAGAAAATAAAATCTTTTCACCTAGCAGGTTGGTTGAGGAAAACTGATAGTCATTTGGTGATGGCAAGGAAGGTGGGAAAATGGGCACTTTCATATACTGGTGAGAAGAGTGTAAACTGGCAAAATATTTTTTGGAAGGGAATTTGGCATTACCTATCATATCCTTTGAATAGTTCCTTCAAAAATATTCACATAAATGCATAAAGATATATTTAGAAGATATTCACTGTAATAGTATTTGCAATTATGAAAAACTGGAAACAAATGTTCATGAATAGAGGCCAATTAAATAAATTATGATATAATCATATAGTGGAATACCCTACAGTTATTACAAATAATAAGGTTTTTGGCATAGAAATACATCCATGATATAATAAATGAAAATATAAAAGGTAATTACATGTTTGTATGTGCATGCTGCATGTGTGTGCATTTTTTCCACACTAAACAGGTTATAGTGGCTTGGACGACTTGGATGGATAATCCTTTAGTGTTTCCGCAGGGACTAACTTCATTGGAACAACCATGGATCATCTGAGCACCTCTGGCCCCTGCCCAGGACCACAGGCTGCTCCAGGAAGGCTATACTGGCACACTGCTGGACCCCAGGCGCAGCACAGAGAGGGCAACTGGTCAGTGTGTGCTAAATAAAGGATGCCACTGGCCACAACTCAGCTTGGCCTTGACCACCCCTGGCTACCGCAAGCACCACAACTTAAGTGGGTGGGGCGATGGGGCTGCCCTGCAACCTGGTGGGAGCACCCTACAGGAGGTCTTCCCAAGACTGGGCATAAGGACAGCAGCAAAGTCCATGATCCTATTTTGGGAACTCAGAGAACCTGGGGAAGGGGAGGAGTTTGTCCCTCCCAGCTGTCACCTTTTCTCATTACTACAGTGGTGCACCTCAATGCAGTAAAACTGGAAAATACTGAAAACACAAGGGAAAAAAAATATCACCGCCTCTAATTCCCACCTCAATAATGTTCAGTGTAAACCACTGGGGGTGGGTCTTTTCACTTTCTGAGCACAGAAATATAGTGTCTCCAAGGGATGATAGAAAAAAAAAAAAGATAAAAAATATGAACCATAAAATGGCAATAAATACACATCTATCAACAATTAAACCTAAAAAACAAAAAAACAAGCAGAACAGAAACAGATTCATAGATACAGAGGACATTCTGATGGCTGCAGATGGGAGGGGAGGCTGGGTGAAAGAGGTGAAGGGATTGAGGAGCACAGACTGGTAGTTACAGAGTAGTCATGGCGATGTAAAGCACAGCACAGGGAACAGTCAATAATATTCTAATAACTATGTGCCAGGTGGGTATGAGATTTATCAGGATGATCTAATCAATAATGGCTAATCATAAAACCAACATAATACTGCATGTCAACTGTAATTGAAAGTAAAACATTATTAAAAAAATGATAGACTGTAGACCCCACTTTTCTTCTCAGCAATATATTGTGTTTCCTTTAATAAGAAATATTCTTCTACAAGAAACTGAATGGCTATAATTATTCTTTGGTACATAATTCATGTAACCAAATTCTTTTCCCCCCTAGAAATGTAGATTTTTGGTATTTTTTTTTTATATTAGGAATATAGTTGGACATTACACATACATTCTTATTCCCATCTCAATTTTTGTCAGGAATGTGCATTCCTTAATGAGGTGAATCTCCTTATAACTTTAGGAAAACTTTCTGGCATAATCCTTGAGAATCATGAGACATTCCAACCCCAAAGCCCCACCCCCAGCCCCGGAAGGAGCTGTGAGAAGGCATTGGAGCAGAACACTTACCTTTCATTTTCTAGTGCCTTCAAAATCTCGGAACTCTTCTTTTGCCTGTGGAGAAACCCAGGAAGGGTCCCTGCAGCCACCCATTTTACAGATGAGAACTGGGGAGGCACAGGTCCAATCAGTGGCCACCCCATGACAAGAGCTGGTCATGCCCAATCAGTCTCTCCTCTTTAAGTTGGTGCAAACTGCAGCACCAAGATTGGGTCCTAATGCTGGAAACTGTGCAGGGGTAGAGCCTGTGAGGAGACCCCCATCCTGGTCTCCTCCGAGGGTATCATGTGGAGAAGGTCTCGGGGCCTGGGGGCCAGGGACCTGACCTCTGATTGTCCTGCAGGAGCTTCTGGATCCGGTTGGAGATGTTCTGCTCTGTCTGCTTCAGCTGCTCCTGCAGCCGCTGACGCTCTGCATCGAGGTATCGCCGGTGCTCGCTGAGGCCCTGGTCCAGCCGGGACTGCTCCTGCGGCAGGGCAGGCAGGGGTTCTGAGCAGCTGGGACCCCCTTAATGCCCTAGGGTAGTGAGGGGCCCTGGAGCGGGGTTCGGAGAGATTTCCCATCCCCTTTCCGGTGACCTTGGACCAGGTGCTCCCTTCCCTTGCTAGGGCTCAGGGTGTCCACTGCCATTGAGGAGGCTGGACTAGGTGAGGTAAAGGCCCCCAGGCCCTGGAGTATGGAAGTGAGAGAGCTCAGGCCCACTGCTTTCCCATATCAGAGGGACCTGGGCTGCTGTCTGAAAGCCCTGGCGGGGGACACAGACAGGCCTGACCCCACTGGGCTGCTCACGAACCTCCCTGACGGACTGAAGGATCTCGTCTTTTTGACTGTGGCTCTGCTGAAGGAGCTGGGCATGCTCTCGCTGCATGAGTTCCAGGCGCCGTTCAAACTCAAGTTTCTCCAGCATCTTCCGTTCCTGAAAGAATAGAGATGCTGGTGACTGTTGGCACAGGCTCTGTGGGCATTAGGACATGGGAGCAGGGTGAACCCACCCTGAAACTGAATAGTGAGGCTGCAGGTCTTAAGGCTGAGCAACATGCCCAGGACCCCTGTAATAAAACAGGCTATTCACTGGCAGAGGCCTGTGGTTTAGAGCCTGGGGCTGGGCTCAAATTCTCTGAGCCTCAGTTTTCTCATCTGTCAAGTGGAGATACTTGGCCACCTACTGAGGCTGTGAGGATGTGCTGAGGTGACCTATGTAAGAGGAAAGCACTTCTTTACCCTCCAGTTTAGAGGCAGGAAAGACTTGTTTCCTAAAGTCTTTTATAATTGTTGAGATTGTTAATGAGAAGAAAAGTGACAGAGGACAAAAGGCAGTTTCTTACCTTCCTCTTCTCATAGTCTGAGAACCTATTCTGGGGGGAAAAAGACGGACGTCAGAGAAGGTGGGCAGCCTGACACCATTCAGACTCCCAGGCCTACCCCAGAGGATGGCATCAGAATGGTGGGGTGGGTGGGGGTTGGGGGGGTTTCTAGTAGACGTCAGGGTTGAAACCATGGGGATGCAGCACTGAGAAGGCCTGGTGCTCAGAAAAGGAGACCAAGAACTGGGATATTTGAGTTCCTTGGATGTCTGCACAACACACGTGCAGCACCCAGCTCTAGCCCACCAAACGCCCAAATTCCTGCAGGAATGTTCAAAAGAGGGAAAGCACTAGACAGAACTCAAATGTCCATTACCAGGTGATCACTTCAGAGTCGTGGAGCAGCCATACAGCGGCTTACTACGCAACTCAAATAATGTAACGGGGCGAGCGTGGGCGAGGCCACACAGAGCGATGCCTGCCATCTTTCACCCTGTGTGCAGCAAGGCCCCTCTTGTAAGAACATCCACGAAACTACTCTGAGATTTGGAGTTGCGGAGACAGAAGTCAGGAAGGAGGCTCGTTAATCAGTTCATGGTGACTACCTCTAGGGGGGACTGTTGGGTGGGGGGCGCCGTCCACTTATGCTGTGCATTTCTATACTGTTTAGATTTATAACAAGGAGCATGCGTGACATCTGTACTTACACCCCCCCACACAAATGCACAAACACACACACTTTTTTAGTGGACCTTCTATTTAGTTCTTGGGCTCTGAGACCAGGGCCAGTCTCTGCCTGAGCTATAAAAGTAGCATCCCATAAGGAAATAGAGTATTTTCCTACTCTAAAGTAAGAGTGAAGTTTTAAAACTTAATCTTTAACTATAAGAATAACATCTGAACACATTCTCCTTTTAAAAATTAAGAAGTACCCACTGAACACTCCCAGTTCCAATCCCGGATACCCTGCAACCCACCCCATGTATCAGTCTCAGACCCAGCCCACACATCTACTTACATATAATTTGCGCTTTTAGGAAAATATATATACAGAAATACATTGTTTTATTATGCTTCATTTTACTGCACTTCACAGATACTGCGTTTTCATCAACATTGAGGCGAGATCCTCCACCACTGAAGGCTTAGATGACGGTTAGCATTTTTAACAATAAAGTATTTTTGAATTACGGTATGTACATTTTTTAGACATAATGCTATTACAGACTTAATAGGCTACAGTGTAAACTGTAACATTTATATGTACTGGAAAACCAAAACATTGCTGTGATTTGTTCTATTGCGATCTTCGCTTTAGTGTGGTGGTCTGCACAGAACCCGCAACCTCTCCAAGGTGTGCCTCTACTGGTGCATGTGCCTGAAACAGGGACCTGGGAGAGCGGGCCTGCTGCTGGTGCTGATGTGTGTGCCCATCTGACTTTCTCACAAAACTGAGAGCTTGACGGGTGTCCTGTACAGCGAGTGGCACTGAGGCAGGAAGTATTTACTGAGAGAGCGATAAACAGACATGAGCCCCACTCTCTTGCAGCTCCACCCAGCAGGACAGGCAGACATTAAACAAATCATCTCCCACGTAACACTTCATTTCGTTTAACTTAGAGTTGTGTTAAGTGCTCCCAAGGAAACGTACGGACAGGGAGGGCGCTCTGAGAACATATGACAGGAGACCTGACCTGGGCTGGTGTGTAGGGAGGGCTTCTCAGAAGAGGCGATGTTTAAACAGAGAAATGAAGGACGACTGAGTTAGCAGGGGAAGGTGAGTGGGGAGGGTTCCAGAGGGATCGGCAGAGAGGAGCACGGTGCAGCTGATGAGTGGTGGGCTCCTAAGGTGAGTGGCCAGAGTTGGCCTTGAGAAAGCAACCTAACTAAGCACATCGGTCTCAATGGAGGTGAATTTTAGTTTGATGGAGTCTATGGGCTGCAGCTCTGAACATCCCCCCAATGCCCAGCGCCCCCTCTCCACGTGCCAGTGGGCAGGTGCACCTTACTTGCCACTCTACCTCCTCCCTGGAGAATCTGTCCGTGGGCCCATCAGGGCTGTCCTGGGAGTTCTCGGCTCTATCTTGCTCCAGCACTGGCAGCAGGTACTGGGAAGGGGGGTAGTATTCCAGCCCTGACTCTGCAAGAGATGATGCAAGCTAACCAGGAGGGAGGAGGCAGCCCAGGTACCTGGAGCTTCTAGCTTCTGCCGCCCTTGCCTTCCTCCTCCCTCCTCAGCATCCTGTCCCACCCCCACCTCAGGCCATTGCTCCTCTGCCCTAGACTGGGCCCTCAGGTTGCTCACCAGTCCTAACCCCTGGCGAGAATGTGGCCAGTGCTCAGTAAGCTTCGGCTGAGTGAACAGAGGACCACCACCTGCCTCTTTACATCCAAGTGGAAATAAGGTGAGAAAAAGGCCTGAGATTAGGAGTTGAAGGCTGAGTTCAAGACCCAGCTTTACCCATGATTTCCTGTGTGTGAGGCCTTGGGCAAGATGCTTGCCTTCTCTGGCCCTACAGTTCCCTCCTGTATAATTTACCCATTTTTTATTGGGTTGTTTGCCTTATTCTTGCTGATTTGTAGATGCTCTTTACACATTATAGCTAATAGCCTTGAGTATATATGTTGCCACTACCTTCTTCTAGGTGGCAACCTTTCTTTTTAGCTTTGACGAATGTTTAAAAGTGAACATGCTCCAAGAGGCAGGGATCAGTGTTGGTCAGAGTTCAAGCGTATTCCCGTGTCTGGCTTCTCCCAGCGCACACTGGGTCGGGGAGGGTCACCCAGAGTGTTGCCGCAGCAGCACCGCAGTTTGCTCTTGATTGCTGTGTCATATACTCACTTACATGCGTTTCTCCTGGGCATTGACCTAGGCATGGAATTGATGGGTCACAGGGTATTTGAATGTTCAGCTTGATTAGATACCAACAATCATTTTCTGAAGAGTTCTGATTTACACTCCCACCTGCAGTGTATGGAAGCTCCTGTTGCTCCACATCTCTGCTAATTCTTGGCAAGGACAGATTCATCTTGGCCATTTTCGTGGCTGTTAGGGCTTAGGTATCTCTTCACAGTTTTAATTTGCATTTTCCTGTTAACTAAGCCCCCCTTTTCAGATACTGATGACTATTGGATATTCTCTTTTGTAAAATTCCTATTTATGTCTTTAGACAATGCCTTTTTCTTATTGACCTCTAGGAGTTCTTTTTCTCTTCTAGAATCAAGTCCTTTCTTGGATCTGTATTGCGAATATCATCTCCAACTTCATAGCTTGCCTTTCCTTCCCCTTAATGGTGTTTTTTTGAAGAAAAGTAGTATGATTTTAACAAAATCTGATTTATCAGTCTTTTATGGTTAGTGCTGCTTGTTTCCTATTTAGGAAGAGGTTAAGGTACTTTTTTACCACATGGAATCCAATTGATCCAGAATCATTTACTGAAAAGAACTTTGCTTTCCTTTCTCGTTGATTTGCAATGGCTCTTTCATCATAAACCAGATGACCACATATGTACGCGAGTCTTGGCTGTGTTCTAGAAGTTCAACAGGTGACAGGAGCCCTCCAGCCTGACAGGGGGTAACTAGGTACAGTCACACCTCACTTTATTGCTCTCAGCTTTATTGCACTTCAGATACTGTGCTTTTTACAAACTGAAGGCAAGACCCCCTCCCACAACCAGCAAAGAGATTATGACTCACTTTACTACAGTGTTCTGGAAGGGAAACCCTGATATCTCTAAGGTTTGCCTGTATACTACTTTCCCCAGCTGGCAGCCACACCAGGGTGGCCTGGGGTTTAGCTCCTTCTGCTGCACTGCCACTTTCCCAAGTCCGATGCACCATGGTGTCTCTTCTGGATGATCCCAGTGACCTCCCAACTGGTCCCCCATCCTCCACTCTTGCTGCCTCCAATCCCTTCTCCTCCCTGAGGCTAGAGTAACCTTTGTAAAAAGCAAATGTGATCAAATTCCTCTCTTGCATCAGGGGCCTGGACACCTCGCTTCATCCTGTCTCTCTTCCCTTTACTGTGGGTTCCAGCCACTCGACCATCCCTCCATGGCCCTTCAACATGCACCTCTGTCTGCCAGGAACATCCTTCTCTCTGATCTAAGTCCTAGTCCTCCCTCAGGTTTCAACAGAGCCACTTTCTCAGACAGACCCTCCCTGAGGCCCCTCAATCTGACTCCCACCCCACTGTACTCTCATAACCACAGTATGTAATTATATTTCCTTGTGTGACGTTGCCCTGTCTCTCCTGCCAGACTGTGGCCTCCTTGCTCTCTGCGCCGCCCCAGCCCGGGCTGTCACAGGGCAGCGGCTGGGGCCACGTGTACTCGCCGAGGAGGGCGGGGGCTGCCTGGCCTTACCTTTGCAGAGGAACCGCTGAATGGCCTCGGTGCCGGCGCCACACACCTCGGACGGCGGAAAGAGCATGGACGAGGAGTCCAGGCTCAGAGTCTGCAGGCATAAGGGGAACCCTCTTTGTATTTGTCATTCACATCAGTGCTCAACACAATAAAAAACCACCCGGCTTAGTTATGAATATGTGTTTACTATCTCCTCTGCCTGGCAGGGAAAGCTCATCTGCCTCATTCTGTCTACGTCACCAACTTAGGACTGTGCCTAGCACACAGCAAGCACTTAATTAATGTTTTTGGATAAATACATGAATGAGCAAAAAAAAGGAAAGTTATAGGATAGTTCAGAGAATAAGATTCCATTTTTGTAAAAACAAAAAACCAAAACTCATATAGTCTCAGATTGGTATATTTATAGAAAAAAATTTGGAGCAATATATCAGACTCAAAGTGGTTTTCCCTAAGGGTGGATTCTGGGGTTTCTTTTACATGAATTTTTTTTAATACTGAAAATTTTAATAATCTGCAGTATGACTTTTTAAGTAAGAAAATAAATATTTATACAAGTGCACACACATGCTTAGAGGTTTATGAAGCCCAGGAAGAAGGGACCTAGGTCCCTTCCATAAAGCTGCCCATGGCCATCACGCGAGCTCTTGTTAACCAAGCTCTCCTCTCACTTCCTACTGGACTTCTGATACCAAGTGCCAGCATGAGTTACCTAAGGCCCCGTCAGGAACTGATAATCTCTTTGCCTGAAACAGACACAGGCCTCAGGGGCCAGGGAGTCCTGGAGAAGGGACAAGGCCTGGGAAGTCAGAGTGGGAAGAGCAGCTCAGACGTCCCTCCATCGCCCTGCCAGCGCAGCCCCTGCACCTGCTGGTGCGGAGTGAACACGAATTATAAGGGTGAAGGGGGGCCTGCTCTGGAGCAGAGGAACTGACTGCCTGGGGTTGGGAGGCCCAAGGGCAGAAAAGCTCATCCTGGGGAACTGAATCTAAAGAAAATGAACCCCACAGGGGTCATAGAGTCACTGACAGTAAAGTGTGGTAGCTTAAGAGCATGGATGCTGGGGCTGCATTGCCTAGTACAGTGGCCATGAGCCATGTGTGGCCATTTAAGTTTAAATTTTAATTGATTAAAAATTTTTTTAATTGTGCCCCAACTGGGGATCAAACCTACAACCTTGGAGTATTGGGACAACACTCTAACCAACTGAGCTACCGGGCCAGGGCTAATTGATTAAAATTAAGAAGAATTTCAAGCTCAGTTCCTCGGATGCAGCAGCCACATTTCGAATGCTCAAAAGCCACACAGACACCCAGAGGTGGCCAGCAGTTACTGCATTGGACGGCACAGACTACAGAACATTTTCATCACTAGCAGGAGTAGCTACTGCACAGCACTTCACCGAGTCACTCAGCCCTGGTCTCAGATTCTAGCTCGCCATGGCTAGCTGGGTACCCTTGAATGGGCCAGTGGACCTTCCAGAGCTGAAGCTCCCTCAGACTTAAACAGGCACAATATCACTGACCTGGAGGCTGTTTGATGGCAAATAGGAGAGAATATGTGAAAAAGAACTTGGCCTCAACTAAGAATGACTGCTGTTACAGTCTCATCCTGAAAACAGGTTTGTTGAAGGCACCACCAAGAAGCTCAAAAGATTTTTGTTTAAACAATCGATACAAAACGAATCACAGAGCTCTTACCAGCTGAATTAGAATGGCTTCAGAATTAGGAACACTGCTCTGAGCTGTGCTGTCCAATAAGGTAGCAACTGAGCACAGGTAGCCATTTAAATGTAAATGAATTAAAATTCAATAAAGTGAAACATGTAGTTCCTTCGTCATACTGGTCACACACAAGTGCTCCACAGCCACACATGGCTAGTGGCTACCGGTTTGGACAGCAGTCACTGGACATTTCCCTCATCGCAGGCCAGAGAGAACCCCGGGAGGGATGGCTCCACTAACCTCCAGGGTTCGAACATGAGCCAGCATCTGCGGCAACCTCTGAATCTCATTTTCACGGATGTCGAGAGTACGTAGGCTCCGAAGTTCCCCCAAAGTGTCTGGAAGCTCCTTCAGCTTGTTGTCTGGAGAGATCGCAATGGCACAGCTAAACATCCCAAAACCCTGTCACCAGCTTCCTGCCTGACACCCACCAGGACTTGGGGGAAGTGGGTGCCTCACTCTGACCCTGAGACTCTGTGAGGGAGAATACGACAATGGGGTTTCAGAGAGCTGGGTTCAAGTTTCCCACAGCTTACTAGCTGGGTGACTCTGGAAAACGGACTTTACCTTCCTCAGTCACAGTCTTCTCATCAGTAAAATGGGAAAAGAATACCATTTGGCCTCATGGGAATATTGAGGAATTCAATGAGATTGCGCATGTGAGGTCCTTGGCACAGGGTCCATCACAGCAAGAAATTGGTAAACGGGGCGCCACTATTTTTATCGTCATTTGTGCTACACTCAGGTAGACTGAGATATTCTGTGCAGAAAGTGCTCCAAACAGCCAGGAGCAATGAAAGGGCGGGGGCGCCGTGAGGCAGGCACTCCACTGGCGCATGCGGTCTGGGTCTGTCCTTGCCATGCGGGTGGCCCTGCGCACGGCACTGCTCTGCGTCTCCTCCTCTTCCTCTGTAACTGGGGGATGACACCTCCTCCCTCTCCAGGCCTCACGGACTTGCAGGCGGTGGCCGCACTACTCCTCACTCAGTGTGACGCGCTACTCAGAACCATGCCTGGGGCCCGAGTCGCTCTCACGCAGTCCGTCCACCACGCGCATTGCCATACTCAGTGTGACACACAC